TTCCGCTATTTTAGGGGCTGCCACAAAGAAGGGGGGTTGTCAACCTATTTTCCAAAGCAGCAGAAGGCAGGACAAGAAGCAACGGATAGAAACTGACCCAAGGAGAAAAGCAAGCTGGAACGAAGGAGAAACTTCCTAACAGCGAGGACCATTAACCAGTGGAACGGCTTGCCACCAGAAATTGCGGGCGCTCCATCACTGGTGTTTTTTAAGAAGAGCCTGGACAGTCATTTGTCTCAAATGGCATAGGGTCTCCTGCTTGAGCAGGGGGCTGGGCTAGATGACCTCCAAGGTCCCTTCCAGGTCCTGGTTCTGCATTCCCACGCTTCCGAGCCCCCTCCTCCCCGCAAGAGGCGGGCCAGGCCTTGGCGAGCACCAGCCGCCCGGAGGCGGAGCGCCGGCTTGCCGCTCGCCGCCACGGAGGGGAGGAGACGGGGGCCAAGGCGGCGCCTGGCCGGGCTTCCTTCCGCGCACGTGGGCATCCCGCGGAGGGGAAGCCGAGCCGGACCATGGCGGAGGCGGAGGCTGCGCTCCGAGAAGCCGAAGGACGGCTGGCCGCCTGTTTGGAAGAGACGCTGGGCAGCCGCCTCTGCGCCAACCGCGTCTTCGAGATCCTGGAGCTTTTGCAGGTGGGCGCAGAGCAGCGCGGCGGCGGGGGGGGGATGCAATGGTCTCGGCCCCTTGGTGTGTGTGTGTGTGTGTGTGTGTTTGTGTGTGTAGTTTTAATGCAATGGTCTCGGCCCCTTGGGTGTGTGTGTTTGTGTGTGTGTGTTTAATGCAATGGCCTCGGCCCCTTGGGAGGGCTCTGTGTGTGTGTCTGTCTGTGTGTGTAGTTTTAATGCAATGGTCTCGGCCCCTTGGGTGTGTGTGTGTGTGTGTTTAATGCAATGGTCTCGGCCCCTTGGGAGGGCTGTGTGTGTGTGTGTGTGTGTGTAGTTTTAATGCAATGGTCTCGGTCCCTTGGGAGAGCTCTGTGTGTGTGTGTCTGTGTGCGTGTGTTTGTGTGTAGTTTTAATGCAATTGTCTCGGCCCCTTGAGGGTGTGTGTGTGTGTTTAATGCAATGGCCTCGGCCCCTTGGGAGGGCTCTGTGTGTGTGTGTGTGTGTGTGTGTGTGTGTGTGTGTGTAGTTTTAATGCAATGGTCTCGGTCCCTTGGGAGGGCTCTGTGTGTGTGTGTCTGTGTGCGTGTGTTTGTGTGTAGTTTTAATGCAATTGTCTCGGCCCCTTGAGGGTGTGTGTGTGTGTGTGTGTGTTTAATGCAATGGTCTCAGCCCCTTGGGAGGGCTGTGTGTGTGTGTGTGTGTGTTTAATGTAATGGCCTCGGCCCCTTGGGAGGGCTCTGTGTGTGTGTGTGTGTGTGTGTGTGTGTGTGTATTTAATACAGTGGTCTCTGCCCCTTGGAAGGGCTCTGTGTGTGTGTGTGTGTGTGTGTGTGTGTGTTTAATGCAACAGTTTCGGCCTCTTGGAAGGGTGTGTGTGTGTATGTGCGCGTGCCCCACATTCTCCCGGGGCTTTTGCAGGAGGACGCAAAGCAACGGGTAATGCAAAGCCTCGCAAAGCCTCGGTTCCTTTGGGGGGGGGGAGAGAGAGTGTGTGTGTGATCCTGCTGATCTAGAATATGCTCTAGATCAGCAGGATCTTGAATCCAGCTGTGTTTCTTCAAATTGGGGAGAGGGCTAGGGGAGGAGGCATTGGGAAGGTCCATTTGGGATGCCTCTAGGAAGTTTGGAGAAGCAAGGATGGTGTGAAATTTGGCAACTGGCCTGAAGCTCTTAAGGATTCTGGCCAGTGGAAAATAAAGACCCTTTTGGTTTGGAGCAGCAAGGGGTGGGGGGAGATTAAAAAAAAAAGCTTTTGAGGATGAACTGAGCAATCCAGAAAGGCAGGGGAAATTACAGGCTGCTCCTGAACATGGGCAGAGTAGTAGCAGTGGCGTAGCTTCTCTGGTTTATCAGGGAGATGCAGCTGCTTTCAATAGCACGAGTGAATCCGTCTTCGTGTCTCCAAGAGAATTTTGTGTAAGGGGGAAAAGCTTCAAGAGTCAGCGGAGCAATTAAGAAGGGCAGAGAAATTGCACGCTACTCCTGAGCATGTGCCGAGTGGCTGTAGCCAAACGTCCTTTCTTGTTCGCCAGGAGGATGCAGCTGTTTTCAACGGCAACCCTCCTGTTCCCAAAGGGTTTCATGCAGCTGGCTTAATTGTGTGATTTGCTCTCCCTCTCTTCCTTTCCCCAAATCCTGGTTTCTCCTCCTCGCAGGCCGAGGACAAGGAGATAATCGAGTGTGCCATCCGGACGTGCAGCCGCCTCTTCGGAGCTTTACTCACACGGGGGGAGCTCTTTGTTGGCAGACTTCCCCCTGAGGAAGACTTTGTCCAAGGTAAGAGGATGGCCTTGGGGGAAAGCAACAGTGGGTGTGGTAAACAGGACAGCAGAGCCACAGATTGAACTAAGGGTAGGGCACTATGGACCGTTTCTGAGCGTGGGCAGAGTGCCTGTGGCTGAGCATCTTCTCTGATTCATCAGGAAGATGCAGCTGCTTTCAATGGAGTGTTTCCCCTGGAGTTTTCTTGTAGCATTCCTGTTTGGGATGATTTGTAAGGTTGTGCATGCTTCAAACCTGATTTGGCAGAAGTTGCTTTGGACCTTCGGAGCACAGTCCTTCTGGGTTCATTAAAGCAGCTGAATCATTCTTCCTGGAGTTGTTGTTGTTGTTTTTTTGCAACATTCTTTTGTGGGGTAGTTTTTAAGGCTGTGCATGCTTCAAATCTTATTTGACAGGAGTGCTTTGGACCTCAGGTATGCTCAGCCCTTCTGGGTTTATTAAAGCAGCTGGATCATTTTTTCTTCCTGGAGTTTTCTCACAGCAGACATTTTGATGTAGTTTTTTAAAGCTATGCGTGCTTGAAACCTGATTTGGCAGAAGTTGCTTTTGGACTTCAGGAGAGCACAGCCCTCTGGGTTCATTAAAGCAGCTGGATCTTTCTTTTTAAAGGTGTTGGGACACGAGCTTTCCTAAATCTTACTCTTTAAAACAATTTTGATTGCAGTTTTGTGGGGCGACTTATTCATGGCTGGGTTTATACCAAGTATATATGGTTAGCCGATGACCTCCCAGCGATCAGCATAGGCAGCTTCTCTTCATTTTTTCGCCGATCCACACCTTGTTTTGTTTCAGGAAATTACAGCGCAGAAGAGAAATATAAAATTTGGATGAGACATCGCTACAACAGCTGCACCGCTTGTCTGGGGGAACTGATGGGGCACAAAGTTTTCCAGGTCAAAGTGAGTTTGCCAAAATGATTAGCAGCTTTTCATTTGATGAATTATTGCAGAAAATAGTCTAGCAAAAGTAAAACAGAAACAACAACAAAAGATTTATAAACAAATTATTTCTGTTTGTCCTTTCCACTTGAGGAACATGCTAAAAAAAAAAAAAAAAGTTCTAGGCTTCTTTCTCTCAACATTTCCCCAAAAGTGGAAAGCCAGCACGTCTGGGGAAACGATCTAATTTTTTGTTGTTGTTCCCCACTGGGCATGCTAGCTTTCTACCTGCAGGGAAGTTATGCTTTTCATCTGGAGCAGTGGTTCTCAACCTTTTTAATGCCACGACCCCCAACCGGTCGTAAGTCGAGGACTACTCAACCGGTCGTAAGCCGAGGACTACTCAACCGGTCGTAAGTCGAGGACTACTGAACTGGTGCAGCGCCGTTTGCAGAATGGGACTTTTGGCGGGCTCAGCAGGGCAGAGACAGCCTGGACAATTCCTATTGGCTTTGGAAAGCCAGTAGAATTAGTCTCTATTCAAGAGAGTCTATTCTATTGGCTTTCAAAAGCCAATAGAAGAAAAGGGAGTAGCACAGCTAAGGAAAAGGGGGAAAAAAGTGGCGGACTGCGTTGTTTGGCGACCCCCGTGAAATGGTCGTTCGACCCCAAATGGGTTCCCGACCCACAGGTTGAGAACCACTGATCTGGAGGAACGTTTTGTAAATCTTCCATCTGCCTTGCAGAAGCCAGGGGAGCAAAATGAAGACGTTATAACCTCAAATGCAAAACATTCTAATTTTCTAAGCGCCAAACGCCAGACATTCTGGGGTATGGTGCAGTTCAGCATAAGCTGCCCTATTTCTTCCCTAGCAAATATTTATTTTATTTTACGGTGTCCAACTCTGTATTGAAAAGGCTCTTTGCCTCCAAGAAGCACAATTGTATAAAGTCAACAAGAGGGAAAAAAAAAAAATTATTTTGGCTTTTGCTGTAATCTCACCATTGTCTCTCTTTATCCCAAATCAATACTTTCAATCAATGAACTAATTCCCACATTGCGTTAAATGAGTGTTTTTCAAACTTGGCCACTTTAACAAGGGTGGACTTCAAGTCCCAGAATTCCCCAGCCCTCTTCAAGTAGCCAGGTTTGAAAAACACTTAACTTAGTTCAATGGGTCCTGGTCGATTCCTGTTTAGCCTCTTCTGCGCGTTTAGCTAATTGAGGCTTATTCTATGAACCACAATGAAGCTGTGGCTTAGCGCCTCCCAGATTCTTTAGCCCCTCCAAAGTATTAAAAATGCTGCAAGATTCTTGAAGAGTATTTTGCGGGGGGGGGAGAGGAATAAATGGATTTAATATTCAATATCTCTTTTGCTCTCCTGCTTTCTTATCTGTCTGTTTTGGTGGAAGGAAACTGCTCTTTGTACCCTGATGAATTTTGTTGAATTGGAAGCCAAATACCCTTTGGTTAAGAACGAATGGAGTTTCAATTTCCCCCGGGAACTTTTACAGGTAAGTCGTCTGAATTTTGATTTACCTTAAACTTTGGTTCCGGTTGTCCGAATGCGAACGTGCGACGACGCAAAATAAGACAGGGAGTCCTCGACTTAGCATCGGTTCGTTTAGGGACCGTTCAGAGTTACAACGGCACTGAAAAATGTGACTTATGACCATTTTTCACACTCAGTGACGTTTGGGGCATCCCCATGGTCCCGGATGGAAAATAATCAAGGAGAGAAGCAACCTAGAACTAAGGAGAAACTTCCTGACAGTCAGAACAATTAACCAGTGGAACAACCTGCCTTCAGAAGCTGTGAATGTTCCAACACTGGAAGTTTATAAGAAGAGACTGGACAGCCATTTGTCTGAAATGGTATAGGGTTTCCTGCCTGAGCAGGGGGTTGGACTAGATGACCTCCAAGATCCCTTCCAACTTTATTATTATTGTTACTGTTGTTGTTGTTGTTATTATTATTATTATTATTATTTCAAGAACTGCCTGGGATACTTTTCTTCCTTCCTTCCTTCCTTTCTCCCTTCCTTCCTTCCTTCCTTTCTCCCTTCCTTCCTTCCTTCCTTTCTCCCTTCCTTCCTTCCTTCCTTCCTTCCTTCCTTCCTTCCTTCCTTCCTTCCTTCTTCTTCTTCTTCTTATTATTATTATTATTGTTATTAATGTTAATGTTATTAATATTAATATTTCGAGGACTCCCTGGGGTACTTTCCTTGATTCAGCGCTTGGTTTCATTTCTTCATCCTCTGCCCTGTCTCTCTCTCCCCCCATTCTGAGAAAACTAGCAGATTTTGAGGATCCTGATGGGATGAATTCTCCCCAAATTCTTTGTTATACTTCCCCCAAACTTTTTTTTTCCAGGTGGGGGAGGGTTCCCCACCTCTTGGGAGAGAGAATTTACATCTACTAGGAAGGGCCTGAGGATTGTGCAAATGTGATCTCAATTCTCTCTGCGCCCTTTCAGGTGGTGGTGGACGGTCTAATCCAGACGGATCACAATTCCTTCCTGCTAATCTCGCGTTTCCATGTGTACATGGAAGAGGACGATGTCCGGTACTTTGTGATGAAGGCGGTGGCCGAAAACGTGGGGAACGTGATGACAAAGGCCAAACAGGTACCTTGACGTCCTTGCTGAGAGCGGCTTTATGTGCGTCTTTTTTTGAGGGTCGGATCGGGCACCTCCTGGGGGTCACTGGCCACTGCAGCCAGTTCTGTTCTGTCTCCTAGGATTTCCTTGGCAGGAACACCGTGGTTGAAGGCATGTAGAATAGGCCTACTAAAAAGGACACCTCTGTGGCCATCTCACCCACCTCTTCCTCTCCATAAACTCCAGTCCTGTCTAGCGCTGATGATGTTACCTAGTTGGGTCTTGAAACATCTGCAAGAAAACAGCCAAGCTCAGAGAGCACTAAAGACCCCACAGTCCTCTTCCTCCTCCTTCTCCTCCTCCATTCACCCCACTCCCTTCTAGCACTGATGCTATTCCCTAGTTGGGTCATGAAACATCTGCAAGAAAACAGCCAAGCTCAGAGAGCACCAAGGATCCCACAGTCCTCTTCCTCCTTCTCCTCTTCCTCCTCCTCCTCCCCCTTCCTCTCCGCAAACCCTACTTCAAGCACTGATGATGTTCCCTAGTTGGGTCATGAAACATCTGCAAGAAAACCACCCAGCTCAGAGAGCACCAAGGACCCCACAGTCCTCCTCTATCCTCCAAAAAATATTTCTCCATTGTTATGAAACCTTTCTCCTATTAGTCCTCCTCCTCCTCGCCGCAAACCCAACTCCCTTCTAGCACTGATGACGTTACCTAGTTGGGTAATGAAACATCTGGAGGAAAACAAGCCAGCTCAGAGAGCACCAAGGACCACACAATCCTCCTCTTCCTCCATTATTATATAAAAAAAAATCTTTCTCCATTATTATGAAAGCTTCGTCCTCCTCCATTCTTATGAGAAAAATATCCTTCTCATTCTCCATTATGATGAAAACATCTCCTTCACTTTCTTTTCTTCCTACTTCTCCATTGTTATGAAAAAAAATATCCTGTTCCTTCTCCATTGTTAAGCTGAAAACCTCCTCCTCCTCCTTCCCTTTTAGTAGTTCAAGTGGAGTTCTGTGCCTTTTTGATGTAGTCACTTACTTCATTCTTTGAGCTGTTTGAAAATCAAAGGAACAGAAAAAAAGAAAAGTTATAATAGGAGGAGGAGGAGGAGGTGATGGGGCAAGTTTTTCACTCCCCTGAGCTCCTGGCAAGAAAAAGGCAAGATAAAAAAATAATTTTCCAAAGAGGACAGAATCGCATCGTAAGGAATATTTTGTTGGCTTTTAGCGGCTGGGGGAGAGAGAGAGAGAGAGAAAAAAAGCACCTTGCGCTACCTTTGGTCCTTGCCTCAAAGCATTTAAAGCGTCTGCCATTTTATTGTCTGTTTTTTTCCTTCCCGCAGGCTCCTCTACGGGTTTACCAAAGCAACGCCTTCCATCTCCTTTCGTCCATTGTCATGCCGAGTGAGGAAAGCAAGATAAAAAAATTTCTGGTGGAACATGGTGAGCGAAATGTCCTGGTTTCTCGCATCTTGTTTGTGATCTGGGCAGATATGCCAAGAGTGGACTCAGCTTATTCGTGGTTTAAGCCAGGGGTGTCAAACTCAATTTCATTGAGGGCCGCATCAGCATTGCGGTTGCCCTGGGAGGGGGGGGCTACTGGGTGGGCATGGATGGAATGGGTGTGGCCTACTGGGTGGGCGTGGTCCAGCTCTACGTCATTCACGTCAAGGGTGCCTGTGGGGGCCTGGGCAGGAGTGAGACCGATCTGAGGGTCTCTGGCAGAAGGGGGTGGGAACAGGGCAGAGCCCATCAAGGCGGATATGTGAAGTAGGCGAGGGCCATTTGCTGGCCACTTCCAGGCGATGGTGCATTTCTTCATTCCTCACAAAGGGGGACACCTCCCCAGCATGCACCCAGGGGACGGGGACGACGCGGCAGGGGCTGGTTCCTCGCTGTTTCCAGACGGCCTTGTGGAGCTAAGACTGAATGTGTTTCAGCATAGTTGGCCACCACAAAATTGTACATTGGCTCCCGGCCAACCTGGGCCAGGGCCAAGGCAGTGGGGGCCGTTCCCTCACTGTGTCCAGGATGGCTTCATGGACCACATGAAACCATTTCGCAGGCCGCATCCGGCCCCCGGGCCTTGTGTTTGGTTTAAGCAGTCCATCAGGTCCAAATTATCTAAATTGTTAAAAGTCTAAATTATTCCTAAACTTGGGGAGAAAACGTTCCAAGGAGTTGCCTTGGTTCTCCCAGCAGTTTTTGTTTTTAAAATTGGGTCTCTCTTTCTCTCTTGACAGCTAATCAGGAGGAGTGGAAAGTGTCCAAACTAAAGGTAGATCTTTTGACTGAGCGAAAGCATTCGTTGTTGCTCTTTGGTTGACCTTGCTTAAGGCAAATCTTGAAGGTGGGCTTGTTGCATTTCTGGGGAAGGGGTGATGCAACAAGGTGGACCACAAAATAAAGACCAACATGACCAGGCTGTGTGAATTCAATTGCCGGGCCTGGTGTGTGAACCAAGCTGATAGGAAAGTAGGAGAAAAAAAGAGGGATTTTTGAACAAAGCAGGACTGGCGTGATAGCCTCCTGAAACATCTCGAGAACTTGGATGTATTTTGATGGACACGCTTGGCTTTCCCATTTAAGCCTGCAGGATGGTTCGTTCTGAAGGCTGCTTCACTTTTTTCTCCATAACTTTTTTTTTTTTTTCAGGAACACAGACAGGCCTTTGAGAGGATGTGGCTTGGATTCCTGAAATACCAGGTGGGGACGTTGAGGATCTCAAAGGTTGATGGTGGGCTTAACGTCACACCTGAGTAATAATTTCATCCATCTAAGTCTGGCCTCAACTGCACCTTGATCAGGAGAGATTAGAATGTTTCTTAATGGAGGGAAGAAAGGGAAGGAGGGAGGGAAGGAAAGAAGAAAAAGAAAGAAAGAAAGAAAGAAAGAAAGAAAGAAAGAAAGAAAGAAAGAAAGAAAGAAAGAAAGAAAGAAAGAAAAACGGAGAAGGGAAGGAAGGAAAACGGAGAGGGGAAAGGGAGGGAAGGAAGGAAGGAAAACAAGGGAAGGAAGGAAGGGAGGGAGGAGTAGAAGGAGGGAGGGAGGAAGGAAGAGAAAGAAAAGGAACATGGAGAAGGGAAGGAAGGAAAAAGAGAAAGGGAGGGAAGGAAGAAAGGAAAGAAGGGAGAGGAATAGGAGAAGGAAGGGAGGAAGAAAAGGGAGGGAAGGAAGGAAAGAAAAAAGATAGAAAAAGGGAAGGAAGGAAAATGGAGAAGGGAAGGAAGGAAGGAAAACGGAGAGGGGAAAGGAAGGGAAGGAAAGAAAGGAAGGAAAACAAGGCAAGGAAGAAAGGAAAGGAGGGAAGGAGGAGGAGAAGGGAGGGAGGAAGGAAGAAAAGAAGGAGAGAGAGAGGGAGAAGGGAAGGGAAGGAACATCCCGGCGTTGTTCAGCCTTTCCACCAGACCATGCTTGAAAGAAAGACAGTTGATTGTTGCCTCCATCCCCCTTACCTAACATGGTCCACCTTCTCTCTCTCTCTCTCTCTCTCTCTCTCTCTCTCTTTTCCTGGGTAGCTACCAAGAAACCTCTACAAAAAAGTCTTGCTCATCCTACATGACTCCATCTTGCCCCACCTGAACGAGCCCGCCCTCTTGATGGATTTCTTGACCGTGGCTTACGACGTTGGTGAGTGATGGTGCCAAGGATGGGTAGGGTTGACTTTGGAGTTTAGGGAAGAAACGATGGCGCAGGAAAGAAGACCCCGGGTCTCCAGAAAGAGGTTGGGTGAACCCGCCGGCCTCTGGCGTCACATCTGGTGGCGCTTCTGCTGGGTCTCCCGACAAATAGCTCTTACTTTTCCTGCTTGAGCAGAGCATTAGACTAGATGACCTCCAAGGGTCCCTCCTGACTTGGTTCTTCTTAACTCTGCTTTATGCCTCTCTTTCAGGTGGAGACATCAGCCTTCTGGCCTTAAATGGACTCTTTGTTTTGATTGTCCAATATAATCTGTAAGTGCCTTAGCAGGTCCTTGGGAAAAAAAAAAATCCCTATTCTTTTTTTTTTAAAAAAAAAAAAACCCACAAGTTTTATTAATTTTTTAAAATTTTTACCTCCAAATATTTAGGAAGCAGCGTGGTGATAGGGTAGCCAATAATCCAATAACAAAATCATTCATGTATATCTCAGGTTACATCAGTAAGGATTCCTTCTCTGTTTCCCACAAATATTATATCGTATTCATACGAATAGATTTCTAGCTAAAGCTCAATCAGTCAATACATTTATCAATAACATTTTGGTTATACAGATCCAAGTCCCGTTTTTAGGTTTTATTTAATTCCAATTAACATATTCCAATTTAGCCTTTTATAACCAATGTTTAAGCTTCGGATAGCCTTGGTTTTCCTCATTTCATTGTAAGGTAATTCACATAACTAAAATACACATATTATTCCAGAATTTACCTTCTTACTTTATTTTTTTTTTATTGAAAAAGTTTTATTGACAACAAAAAAAAAAATTTAAACCCACAAATTATCTAACACCCTTTCTTTTTTTCTACCTAACCATGTTGGAAGGAGATTTGAAAGTTTTAAACCTGGTTTCTTTTTGAGCTTCTGTTCTGAAAGTTGGGACGCCTGTATTGCAGGGGTTTTCAAATGTGGCCCCTTTTATGACTTGTGGACTTCAACTCCCAGAATTCCTCATCCAGGCACGCTGGCCTGAGGAATTTTGGGAGTTGAAGTCCACAAGTCATAAAAGAGCCAAGTTTGAAGACCCCCTGCTCTATTGGGAATGTTGAAAAACAACACTCTTTAAGTCAATCTGTTGTTGAGATTTTGTTGTTGTTGTTGTTGTAGGGAATATCCAGAATTCTACACGAAACTGTACAGTCACCTGGACCCCTCCATCTTCCACGTAAAATGCCGTGCACGCTTCTTTCGTTTATTGGATTTGTTCTTATCTTCTTCGTAAGTCAAAGTTTGATGCTTTCCCAAGACCTGCTTTGTATTGTGTTTCCCACCAGTATCCCATAATAACTTGGGTGTAGAGTTTGTTTCCCTGTATGCATCTCCAGCCCAACTCCTTGGGGGGGGGGGCTGGAAAAAAACCTCATAGAATCAATGAGGCCAGCTTCCTTCATTTTTGTCCTTGTTTAGCGACCGCCTTTGGTTGTTAAATGAAGCAAAGTCAAACTACGACTGTGCTTACGATCTGACTTCCGTTTTCCTTTGCTTTGTCTCCCTGCAAATGTCATCAGTGTGAAGGTTGGCCATAAAATCATTTTTTCGTTACCACTGTGACTCTAGTTTAGACAGTCCCCAAACAAGGCAGCCGCTAAACGAGGACTAACTAGAGCAGGGGTCCACAACCGTGGCAACTTTAAGACTTGGGGAGGCTGGCTGAGGAATTCTGGGAGTTGAAGTCCCCAAGTCTTAACGTTGCCAAGGTTGGAGACCCCTGAACTATCGTGGTTTATTCATTCAGGATTGACCGCTTCTAAACAGGAAGATGGTTTTTAAGGAACTTTATGCTAGCATCGTGGACTTGTGTGAGTTATGGGTAAAAAGTAGCTTCCTCTTAGTGTCCTTGTCTCTTCTGTTTGTGGGGCCCTTGGTGCTCCCAGAACTTGGCTCTTTTCTGGCAGACGTTTCATGACCCAGCTAGGTAACATCATCAGTGGTAGAAAGGAGTGGGGTTTGTTTTCTGTTTATGGACTAGTGGTTTGCCCTGTCAGGCTTGGTGGGAGTGTTCTTGGTGGTTCCTTGATTAGGAGGTTGTTTGCTGTTAGCTTGTTTGTTTGTGTTGGTGGTTCCTTGATTGGGGAATTGTACTGGGGTATAAACAGAGAGCAAACCCCGCTCCCTTCTAGCACTGATGATGTTGCCTAGTTGGGTCATGAAATGTCTGCAAGAAAACCACCAAGCTCAGAGAGCACCAAGGACCCCACAGTTGTTCTCCTCCTCCTCCTCCTCCTCCTCTTAATAAAGCTATCAGATAAGGATATTGGATTATCTGAACGCAGTTTGATTTTTCTCTTCCTTCTCCTTCTTCTTCCCTTCTTCCCTTCCTTCCTTCCTTCCTTCCTTCCTTCCTTCCTTCCTTCCTTCCTTCCTTCCTTCCTTCCTTCCTCTCTCCCTCCCTCATTTCCCTCCCTCCCTCCCTCTCATTTTCCTTCCTTCCTTTCTTCCCTCCCTCCCTCACATTTTCCTTCCTTCTCTCCTCCCTCCCTCTCATTTTCCTTCCTTCCTTTCTCCCTCCCTCCTTCCTTCCCTCCTCCATCCCTTCCTCCTCTCTGCAAACTCTACTCCCTTCTCTCACGGATGACAATACCTTGTTTGCTAATGAAATGTCTGCAAGACAACCACCCCGTCTTCAAGGAAGCCACAAACCAAGAGTACCGAGGGATTGCATAGTTCAGCCCTGAGCTCACGAATAGTCTCTTTCCTTGGCCTCTTCCATTACTTCTGACAGGCACTTGCCGGCGTATCTGGTGGCAGCCTTTGCCAAGCGCCTCTCCCGCCTGGCGCTCACCGCCCCTCCTGATGGCTTGCTGATTGTCATTCCTTTCATCTGTAACCTCTTGAGGAGGCATCAGTCGTGCCAGGCGCTCATCCACAGGCCCCACGGCCCTGCAGGTGAGAACAACGCAGCTCAAAAAGGCCGTGTGTTTTCATTCCCTCTTGTTGAGGTTGACTGACTCGGAGAAGGAAGGGTAAAACCTGCCAATGTGTACCGACAGCCTGGATTGTATCTCCTCAAGGATCTGGGGAAGACACTGGAGAACGTCTGGCTGGCTTTGCTCCAGTTTTGCTTGCTCGCCGCACAAGGCAGCCCTGCAAAGATCTTTGCAATTAATATCACTTTACAAGGCCTTGGTAAGGCCACACTTGGAATACGGCATCCAGTTTTGGTCACCACAATGTAAAAAAGATGCTGAGACTCTAGAAAGAGTGCAGAGAAGAGCAACAAAGATGATCAGGGGACTGGAGGCTAAAGCATATAAGGAAAGGTTGATGGAATTGGGTATGTCTAGTTTAACGAAGAGAAGGACGAGGGGGGACATGATAGCAGTCTTCCAATATCTCAGGGGCTGCCCCAAAGAAGAGGGAGTCAAGCTATTCTCCAAAGCACCTGAAGGCAGGACAAGAAGCAACGGATGGAAACTAACCAAGGAGAGAAGCAACCTAGAACTAAGGAGAAACTTCAGGACAGTTAGAACAATTAACCAGTGGAACAACCTGCCTGCAGAAGTGGTGAATGCTCCAATACTGGAAGTTTTAAAGAAGAGACTGGACAGCCACTTGTCTGAAATGGTATAGGGTTTCCTGCCTGAGCAGGGGGTTGGATCAGATGACCTCCAAGGTCCCTTCCAACTTTATTATTATTACTGTGATTGTTGTTATTATTATTTCTATCCCAGCCGTTCCCCACAATGTAGCTTCAGCAAAAGGGTTTCCTTTGAAATCGGGGTTTGAGGAGAAACATCTGCCATCTCTTGGGATTGTGGAAGGCAAGGAGAAGTCCTCACGCCCCCAAGAGCTTATTCTGGTTTTCTTTCTTTTCTCTTCTTTAGAGATGCCGGAGGATCCTTACAGGATGGAGGAAAAAGACCCCTTGGAAAGCAGGGCTCTGGAGAGCTCCTTGTGGGAAATAAAAGTAGGTTTTCATCTAAGAGGAACTTGAGGGCGTAGTGGGATTCTGGCTTCATAAATCCGGGAGGGGGGAAGGACAGATTGAGTGAGCAACATCTGCACCAGCACAAACATCTGTGCCTTTAGCAGTCACTTGATCCTCCAAGAACACTCCCCAACCCTGACAGAGCAAGCCAGTAGTATATAAACAGAAAACCCTACTCCTGCTAGTACTGATGATGTTGCCTAGTTGGGTGATGAAAGGTCTGCAAGAAAACCACCAAGCTCAGAGAGCACCAAGGACCCCACAATCCTCCTCCCCCCCTCCTCCTCCTACTGATATTCCCTAGTTGGGTCATGAAACATCTGCAAGAAAGCAACCAAGCTCAGAGGCCACCAAGGACCTTATAGTTCTCCTCCTCTCCCTTCCCCCTCCCCTTCCTTCACTACGCAAACCCCACTCCCTCCTGACACTGATGATGTTGCCTAGTTGGGTTACGAAACGTCTGCAAGAAAACCACCAAGCTCAGAGAGCACCAAGGACACCACAGTCGCTTGATCTGCCATCTTTATTTCTTATTTATGGGCTTTATAACCCATCACCCACCCCCAAGATGAAGGGAGTTGGGTCTGTGGTTTCACAGTCCAGTGCTGAAAGAACTTGGCAATATCCCACAATTAGAGAAGGATTCTGAAGCATTTCATGGTGAGTGCTTTCCACAAAGTCTTGCCTCATCTCTTGTCCAGAAAATTGGAATTGGTGCACAGCAACAATGCCCAGGCTTCGTGACTTGGCAGCCCGACGGACTGGGGCTGGGGGTTTGAAAGGGGAGCTAGATTGTTCAAGCAGCGGGCCGGCGCACATGTGCATTCCGCTCAACTTGCACAAGTTGAGCTGCATGTGTGTGCGCATACGCACCAGCCCGCCATGCGAACAAGTCAAGCTACGCACACTTGCATGCTGGCCTGCCAATAAATAGGGGGATCCCTGATGTACAGCGCCTGCATTCCTAACGTAAGGATGGTGACAGCATGGAGAGGATATCTTGGTGACCCAGATGGAATGATCGCTATTTGTCAAGGCGGATATTCATGCGAGTCTACCCTTCTTGTGTTCTTCAGACGCTGCAGAACCATTATCATCCTGACGTTGCCAGGGCTGCTGCTGAAATTAACCTGCCTCTCTCCGTGATGGAACAGGATTTGTCCGAGATCCTAGAACTGACAGCCTTTGAGGTTAGTATATACCTATGAATCTGGGTCCTCATTTTACCGACTTCGGAAGGACGGAAGGCTGAGTCAACCCTGAGCTGGTCAGGATTGAACTCCTGGAGTGAGCAGTGAGTTATCCTGCAGTGCTGCATTCTAGCCACTGGGGAGGGAGGGAGGGAGGGAGGGAGGGAGGGAAGGAAGGAAGGAAGGAAGGAAGGAAGGAAGGAAGGAAGGAAGGAAGGAAGGAAGGAAGGAAGGAAAATAACTTGAGTGGATGAGGGAGGGAGAAAAGAAGGAAGGAATATGAGTCAGTTGGCAAGCGTCCGGATTTTGATCCCGTGTCCATGGGGATGCTGCAACGGTCATAAGTGTGAAAAACAGGCGTAAGTCAGCTTTTTTCAGCGCTGTGGTTAACCTCAAACAGTTACTTGTTTAGATTCACTTAACATGTCTGTTGCCGTCTTAATAACTGAAGTGATACCCTTAGCAGCCGTAGCGAGAAAGGGTCGTAAAATGGGGCAAAACTCAATTAACAACCGTCTTCCTTAATGGCATCTGTAAGTCGACCAACTATATTTGAAGAATTCCATGCTCCTAGCCCAAGGGTAGGCAACCTTGGCTCTTTTATGACTCGTGGACTTCAACTCCCAGAATTCCTGAGCCAGCCATGCTGAGGGGAAAGGGAGAGTTTCCAAGCTGAGCCATGCTGGCTCAGGAATTCTGGGAGTTGAAGTCCACGAGTCATGAGGGGGCCATAGTTCCCCCATGTTGGCTCAGGAGTTCTGGGAGTTGAAGTCCACGAGTCATGAGGGGGCCATAGTTCCCCCATGCTGGCTCAGGAATTCTGGGAGTTGAAGTCCACGAATCATAAAAGAGGCAAGGTTGCCTAAGAAATCTGGATTCGATCCAGCGCTGGCTTTGCAGAATTCTTGCAACAGCCTCGTCAAGTAGGAAACCCTGAAAAGCAAATTAGGAAATCCACATTGGTTTCTCCTGATATATTTTTTTTGTCATTCCTCCGTGGCTACAGTGGCAGCCAGTTGGTGTTGTTTTCTCAAATGCACTCTGGGAAAATGTCAAACACAGCCAAGCTGGTATTGAGCGTGGGAGAAAAAAAACAAAGAAAAAAAGAAAGTGAGCTGAAAAGAGCGAGTCAACATGTAAAATAAATTGATTTTTTTTCCTTCTCTCCCTCCCTCCCTCCTTCTCTCCCCCACCCCCAAAGATATTTGATAAGGACATTAAGAAAGAATCCGCAGACGTTCCACTGGAATATCGGCAAGCCCGAGGCCTCTTTAGGGACAAAGATGATCTCTTTGCAGAATATTTTTCCTTGCAGTGACTGTTTGGGGGTAACAGAATGCAATAAATACCTTCTTTTTTAAAAAAATTTAAAACGTTGGGCGCTGCAATACTTGGTGATGGACGATTGTGACTGCTTGTTCCTTGACGGTTGAGAAATGGTTCTGATTTGTTGTGAATTTCATCATTGGCCAGCAGAGAGCAGCAACAGTTGTCGGAAGTTTTAAGGCAGTGGTTCTCAACCTTTTTAATGCCGCGACCCCCAACCGGTCGTAAGTCGAGGACTACTCAACCGGTTGTAAGTCGAGGACTACTCAACTGGTGCAGCACCGTTTGCAGAATGGGACTTTTGGCGGGCTCAGCAGGGCAGAGACAGCCTGGACAATTCCTATTGGCTTTTGAAAGCCAATAGAATTAGACTCTATTCAAGAGAGTCTATTCTATTGGCTTTCAAAAGCCAATAGAATAAAAGGGAGTAGCACAGCTAAGGAAAAGGGGGAAGAAAATGGCGGACTGCGTTGTTTGGCGACCCCCGTGAAATGATCGTTCGACCCCAAATGGGGTCCCGACCCACAGGTTGAGAACCACTGCTCTAAGGGGAAAAAATGAAAGGTCTGCCAGCTTGGAGAGCATCAAGGGCCCCACAGTCGTCCTCACTACAAACCCCATTTCTTTCTAGCACCCGTAATGTTACCTAGTTGGGGCATGAAATGCCTGCAAGCACCAAGGACCCCACAGTCCTCCTTTTCTTCCTCCTCCTCCTTTCCACAAACTCCACTCCCTTCTAGCACTGATGATGTTATCTAGTTGGGTCATGAAATGTCTGCAAGAAAACAGGCAAGCTCAGAGAGCACCAAGGACTCCAAAGTCAATCAGTCCATCTTTCCTTCCTCCTCTCCTCTCCTCTCCATAAATTCCATTCCCTTGTAGCACTGATGATGTTACCTAGTTGGGTCATGAAATGTCTGCAAGAAAACAGGCAAGCTCAGAGAGCACCAAGGACCCCAGAGTCAATCAGTCCATCTTTCCTTCCTCCTCTCCTCTCCTCTCCTCAAATTCCATTCCATTCTAGCACTGATGATGTTATCTAGTTGGGTCATGAAATGTCTGCAAGAAAACCAAGCTCAGCGAGCACCAAGGACTCCATACTATGTCTTTTCTGAACCCTTTGAGGAACACAGTCCTGAAATACACTACTTCATTCTCGGCCTATTTGTTGGCCATGGGTGTTTGTTCCTATCGCTGTTGTTCCTCAAAGTTTGTTCTTACATAACAGAGAATTTCCATGGAGCTGTGTTTGTCCACAACTCGGACATTTAGCTGGAAGGCAATTCTCAATACCAGCTGACTGAGCATGAATTCAGTAGAGGGGAAATGGGGGGGGGGACAGAGAGATCTTTCTAAAGCCCAGAATTAAAGCAGAAAGGTGAAGGATTAAACACTCAATAACTGAGAAATGAATTGGAACCACCAGGAATGCTTCATTCACTGCATTGCTGAGGTCACACATGGATTACTGCATTTGGTCACCATGATACAAAAAAGACGTTGAGACTCTGGAAAGGGTGCGGAGAAGAGCAACCATGATGATTAGGGGGCTGGGGGCTGAAACGTGCAAAGAACGGTTGCAGGAATTGAGTTGTGTCTAGTTTAATGAAAAGAAGGACTAGGGGTGACATGATAGCAGTCTTCCAATGTGTAAGGACCCACCTCGGCTAACCACCCAAGGAAGCAGAAATCTTGAAGCAGGTATTGTCTTTAAAGGAAGCTTTTATTAGGGGTCAGGGACAGTAGGGAAGTCAAAGCAAGATCTGGGGAAAATCCCACGCAAACGGTATAGTGAAGCAAGCAAACTATCTTCTCCCACCAAAGTCATAATGTCCATTTGAAATCCAGGCAATCCACAGGTGGCACCGTGTGCGGGTAACTGGCTCAAGTTGGTGTGCAATCAAGGTCTTGTCCAGTTTCCATAGCTGGTGGAAAGCGAAAGTTATCCCAAGCAAAATAAAATTCCCCCCTCCCCACAGCAGAATGGCTGGCCCCAAGCATATATGCAGGAAAAACAATAAGGGTTTTGGGGACTTGACATGTGCCCCCCCCCTAGAACGGGAAATCCACCTAGATAGACAAAAAGGGAACGGAAACAAACAATACAGGCATATCAATTATACAGGATATTGAGAGTGGAAGCGTCTTAAAAGTTTAGGGGCTGTAACATGTTTCTTGTTCACCCACTTGTGAGAATAGTTTGATGTGGTCTCTGCAATCACTAGCAAAATGTTCTTTTCTTCTACCCATCCAAATAAAATGGCTTAACAAGAAGGTATTCGTCTCTTAACAGTGATTTGTTGAACACTGCTGGAATATTTTTCTGAATAAAGAAAAAACAAAGCCATTTGGTTAATTCTGCAGGTCGTTGTCCTGCCCTGTCTGGAGGGCGCAACTTGGAGGAAAATGTTGAGAGGGGTCTCATTAAAAGTTATTAAAATCCTTATGATGGGGATATAAATGTATCAGACCTCTTTTGAAAACATTTAACTGTAGGTAGGAAAGAGTTCCAATAATAGAAAAAGGAAGAAATAGTTTCAAATTTGAGTCAATTTCTTTCACTGGGCAAGACACTATGTATCAGAAACTCTTATTACAACATTTTAGCAGAATCCCTAGAAAGCAAAGCAAAACAAACCAGTCCTGGATTATTATTTTTCTTAAAGAAAAAAAGACTGGGGGAAAAATAACAAATTCAAAATAAAACCAAGGGCTGCCTGGCAAGATTGTGACAAGGTGGCGAAGATGCAAACAAAAACAAAAAGAGCTTTGAATTTTAGGTGGAGGGGACCACCCACCCACCAGAAGGGCAATCTGTTGCAAGAGTAGCAATCCCCATCATCCCCCCCAAAAGGCTGGCTAATGGGACCTGTAGTCCAAAGTTTCTCCTATACTGTACATAACACCATTTTATTTTTATTATTTTTTTTGCTATGTATCACATTTTCAGATTTTTTTGGGGTAAAAACTGAGCATTTTAAGCAAGGGGGGGGAGAAACCTGCTCAACAGGAGCAAAGAAAAAAAAAAGCTTTCTGTTGCAAAAAGAGACCATCCCTATCAACACCCCTCCACCCCGGAAATGGCTGATGGGACTTGTAATCCAAAGCAGTCCTCAGTAGAAGCCCAAAGTCACCCTCTGGGTCGCTCAATCCTAAAAAGCACTGCTGCAAAAAATGTTTTTTTAAAAATTGGACCTTTGCAGCGGGGGAGGCGAGGTGGAGGGGAAGGAGACAACCTCCAACCCTATTCCAGCCTCTCACGCACAAGGGGAGACCCGCCGGCTGCCTGACGGATGGGATTTGTAGTCCAAGGCTCCCCTAGGTGAGGAGAAAGCATTGCACACACACACGCACACACGCAAACTTAGAACCAGCGTCGCAGTCGCCTAATCGCCTTTACCTGTGTGGCGTAGGCGCACCTGGCCGTGATGAGCCTTCCCGCGCGCGCCGCGGCCGTCTCCATGGCAACCGCCGCGCGAGCCGGGGAACCAGCCGAGCGCTCGCACCTGTGTTTGAGCGCGCGCCTCTCCCGCCCAGCGCCCTCGGACCGCCCACCTCGCCCGTTGATTGGCTGCTCCGAAAACGCGTCCCTCGGATTGGCTCAGCGGTCTGTCTCCTTCTCTCCGAGAGGCGGGGACAGTTTAAAAAGACGGCGGGCTCCTCAGCCGGAGTGCAAAAAAAGCGAAGCGAGCGCGCTGCGCAGGCAGCGGACGCCGCTCCCGCGTCTCTTTTTTTCCCTCAAAAGAGACGATGCTGCGGGGCGCCGGGGGGGCTAAAATGTCTCTCTCTCCGGCGCTCCCGCGGCCCAAGTCCTCGAGCTCGAGGCCGGGCAGGGCCTTTTGAGCTTTTGAGGTAATTGTGAGGCTTTTCTACGTTGTAAGATACCTGAGGGGAGCGTGAGTTCTTTAGCCTATTCTCGCGGAGTAAGGGGAGCACCTGTGGTAATTTTAAGCGCGGCGTGTATTCTTAGGAGTAAAACGCCAGGGGGGGGGCTGAGGTGAACTCTCAAGGGGGCTTTAATTCAAAGGACGCCAATGCCACAGGTCACTAAAGATATTTATTCTCCGTCTTTCCCTCGGGGAATAACGCAAACCGCTGCTTTCTTGCAGTAATTCTAGCCAAAACGCCAGTTCTTAAAATTTGGGTGGGACCTGAGGTAATTCTCAGCCGTGTCCTTTTAAAAAAAAGGACCAAACCACCACAGGTGAATAAGAGTTAAAATTAGCTTTAAAGATAAAATTGTCTCAGGAACAGACCTTCCTCTCAGGAATAAAGGGAGTTCTTGGGGCCTGGGGGAATTTTAGCCAGGACTTTAAATTCTTAGAATAAAATTTGGGTGGGATCTCAAGTAATGTCAGCCATGTCCTTTTTTTTAAAAAAGGACCAAACCACCACAGGTGAATAAGAGTTAAAATTAGCTTTAAAGATAAAATTGCCTCAGGAGCAGACCTTCCTCTCAGGAATAAAGGGAATTCCTGGGGCCTGGGGGAATTTTAGCCAGGACTTTAAATTCTTAGAATAAAATTTGGGTGGAACCTCAAGTAATGTCAGCCATGTCCTTTTTAAAAAAGGACCAAACCACCAAGGTGAATAAGAGTTAAAATTAGCTTTGTCCTTGCAGTAAGCTGAAGCAATTTTAGCCAGGTGTGGTTAAAAGGGCTAAACTGCCACAGGTGAACAAGCAGTAAAATTAGCTTAAAGGCAAAATGGCTTCAGTCCCTGGAGTTGCCCTTTCTTGAATAAAGTCAGCTCTTTGGACCTGGGGAAGTTTTAATCAAGGCTCAAATCCTTAAAAGAAGGAAAATATGTAGAGGACTAGTGGCTTCAAGTAACTAAAGGCAAAAGTTAACCAAAATTACTTCAGGTCCTGGAGTTGACTTTGCTTTCTTGAAATAAAGTCAGCTCTTAAAGTAATTTTAGCCAAGGGCACATTTTAAAATATTGGTGGCATCTAAGGTAATCTCAGCCATGTCCTTTTAGAAGGACCAAACCACCATAGGCAAGTCAAGAATTAAAAAATAGTTTTAAAGGTAAAGATAA